GCTGCTTCTTGCCATCTACCCCTGGCAGAAGCACAACAAGGAGATGAAGTTTGCCGTCAAGTTCATGTTCTCCTACCCCTGCCCCCTCTACCACCCCCTGCTCTATGGGGCCGGGCAGCACTAGGGCTCTGCTCACTTTGCCCTGTCCCAGGACTCCTGCACTGGCCCGACGCTGCACCCCTGGTTGCACCCCAGGACCCCGGCTCTGCTCCCCTCAGCCCCTTGGCTGTGCCCCAGGACCCTGCTCTGCATCCCCAGGATTCCCAGCTGCATTCGTGGGAGCCTTGATCCACAGCCAGGCACCCTGCCCTCTCCTGAGAGCCCTGCTCTGCACCCCTGGGACCCCTGTTCTGCTCCCAGGACCCCTGCCCACACCCAGGGGCTTAGGCTGCACCCAGGACCCTTGCTCTGCATGTTTGTGAGCCCTGGCCTGCACCAGAGACCCTTGGCTACTCCCAAGACCCCTGCCTGGCACACCAGGGACCCTTGCCTGCACTTAGGATCCCTGCTTGGCCCTCTTGGGACCCCTTGGCTGCACCTGAAACACCTACCCTGCACCCCTGTGTCCCCTGCCTGGCTCTCTGATGACATGTCCCAGACTCTCAGACTCCCAAATCCCTACTCCAGCCCACCAAAGCATCCCATGCCCTCACCTTGAGCTCACACCCCAGCCCTGGATTATCCCACCTTCACAGGGACCCACCCCAGCCAAGGCAGGTCCCTCCTGCCTTGCTGTCCCCACAGACTGGCCCCCTCAAGACCAAGTGCCCAGTGCAGCACAGCCCCTGCCTCAGCTTCCCCACCCTTCCCATCCCACATAGATCATTGTAGGGGGGTGTCCAACTTGAAGCCCCCCAGACCAGCTCTGCTGCATCCCTCACACCTCCCCGCCAAGACCCAGCCCAGGCACCCCTTGCTCTTCCACACCACAGTAAATTATTCTGCCTCAGAGAAGCCTGTGTCCGGCTCCCTGTGGTTCATGGGAAACAGCCCCTTGGGGCTCCCTCAGGGACCCTAGAAAGGATGGAAGGGGGCTCCCAGTCCTGCCCGCTGAGCGGGGCAGCCTGGGAGAGTGGGGTCACCCTGGGATCCAGCTCTAGCCCTGCTCCAGGTGCCATGCCCAGAGCCTGAGGCTGGGCAGCCCAGCCAAGCCAAGGGATGAGGTTCCCAGCAGTCACAGGCAGCACTGGAGACTCAGGCATGCCTGCCACCTCAGGGAGTCTGGGGGGGGTGGAGAGATGAGGAGGATGGCGGGGAGAGGGGCATCACTGCTGCTGGAGCCCCACAGCTGGGTCTGAGGGTGTTTGCCAGACAGGTTTCTCCTTCTGTCACCCCTGGGGGACAGATCCACAGGCTGGGAGTTGGAGGCACACGTGAAGAGCCTGGCACTGACCAGAGTAGGGGGCAGGGACCCTGGACCAGGGAGCCTCCATTCCTTGGCACCCCACCTCGGCAGCACCTGAAAGCCCTGTCTGCAGCTCCCAGCCAAAAAAAACTGGCTCCCAGACCTCCCGTCCCACAGCCTCCAGCCTCCTCCCAAAATGTTCCCCGGGGCCACCCACCTGCACCAGCTGGCATCCCCCCGCAGCACCTGGGTGGGGACAGCCCTCAGCCTGGCCCCTCTGATGGCAGCAGGGTGCTGCCCCTCTGCTTCGCTCCCCCAGCCCCGGAACACAGGCTGCCTCTGCCCCAACACCCCCCCGAGTCCCAGCAGGCAAGGGGGGCAGCCTGCCCACCCCAGTCCCACTCCAGTCCTGTTTACCCAGTGCATTCTTGCATCCACCCGTCCCGCCAGGTGAGGGAGGCACGAAAGCAGCTGCTGGGATATTTACCCAGCGCCTGGCTGCCTGACACTGCGGCTTCTCACCGGAGCTGGCCCCGCGGCAGGGGGGCCTCCCGGGACAAGAGGGGAATTGAGGATGCAGGACGCCTCCGCCCACCCTCCCCGCTGACAAGGCCGCTGGGCACCTGCCCCACGCCAGAGTGATCCCTGCTCCCTCTGGCCCTCCTTGGACATGGACTTGGCCCCACTGGACACCCCCAGAGCCCCAAAGGGCACTCGCAGCTGGCCAGGGGTGCAGGGCAACCAGCCCTTGCCACAGCCTTGCACTGGGGGTGGATGGTTACTGCCCCCATCCTCCACCTTGACCAGCGTGGAAAAAAACTGGGGAAAAAACTCAAATATCATTAGAAGGTCTGAACATTCAGAGCAAGGCTGCTGAGCACGCTGCCATAGGAATAAACATCGTCAATTATGTCATTTTACTGCAAAACTTAAAATGCGCAAATAAAACCCCATTTCCCACAGCCCAAGTTTATCTGTAGCCCTCTGTATTTTGCGTCATTAGCATCTTTCCAGGGAGTGTTTAGACATACATGGCCATCGCGCTCATCACTCCGTGTTTTCTCTAGAAAGACAAGTAACTTCTCTCTGCCTCCCACCATCAGCCATCTGAGCTCTATCCCCCCAGCCCCTCAGAGAATAGTACTCACCCCATTGCAGATATACCCACACACACGATCCCACAGCTCTTGGGGTGCTATGCAGCTCCCTCCCCCAATGTTACAGCTGCTCCACTGCCCCCCGTAATTGCTGAGCCCTCTGCATGCCAGTCCCCCCCACGCACCCTGGCCTTGGAGCACACCCAGCACAACTCAGACACCCTCATCGTCACTGCCCAGTCCAGCTTTTCCCCAGATTTCCATAGCGCACAGCTTGAGGTAGGGGTTTACGAGCCCGCAGCCAAGAGGAGGGCTCAGGCTGCCCCCAGGGCTGCCCCATGGCCATAGGGTGTACAATCAGCAGCGAGATCTGGGGCCCCAGCACCATCTCAGGCTGGTGGGTGTCACAGCCTGGTAGGCATCACAACCTGGTGGGCACTGGGCAATGCCAACCAGCTGCCCCCCAGACTCCCTGGCCAGGGGGAGCTGCAGCTGACTGGCAGGGACCCAGGCCATGGCCGTTCCCAGCTGCGTGGCAGTCAGGGTCACATTCCTGGGATAGCTGTGAGCTTTGCTGTTCACACAGCGAAATGTCACCCTTGTGCGTGCAGGCAGCTGCCGGGACCACCGCCTGGGCAGGGGAAAACAAACAGCCCTGGGAGGCAGAGAAAAAGCCCAGCAGCTCCTGGCAGAGCTGAGCAGGATGCGGCCCTGGCACAACCGAGGAGGGGCAGCTACACACAGCCCTGCCCGGGGGCAAGCAAGGCCACAGCATGGCAGAAGATGAAAACTCCAGTAAGCAAGGGGAGCTGGTGGCAGAGACCCACCATTTCTCCGTGACCACCTCCGCTGAGGTGCCAGGGTGACCTGGGATAAGACAAGAGCCAGCTGAGGGCAAGAGATTTATTGGTCATTCTCTATATACACTTATATATTAATCTGTAGTAAAAAGCAGCAGTCACTAAGCGCACAGAGCAGCACCAACTTGTGGCTCTTCTCACGCTGCAGCTGGAGACCCGGCCAAGCAGCCCAGCCCAAACTTAACCTCTTGCCTCCTCCACGCTACAGCCGAATATAGGGGGAAAGACTAAACCTGCAGGCAGCGAGGCCAAGGAGCACAGGAGTGACTAGCAGGGTCTCAGCTGAGCCAGGACCAAGGACCACATCTCCTGGGAATGCAGGTGGAGCTCTGACTTGATCCCAAAAATACAGTGACCTAGCACAGTGCTGGGAAAGGTAGGGACAGAGCCCTGAGGTTGTTCTGCCCCACCCAGGAGGTGGAGGTAGGACCACAAGTGGTAAGGGTTGCTCCTCCATCACTGAGCCAGGCCACAGGGCCTGGGCAAGCACGTGGCAGGGTGCAGTGAGTGCCAGGAAGCGCCCAGGGCTTGGAGCAGCTGCCAGGGGACAGCCACAGGGACAGGGGCACGGCTGTGGGCAATGCTCTGCTGCAGGGACCCAGCTGGTGCGGCAGATGCTGCATGGCAAGGAGGGCTCGTCTGCCCCCAGCCTGGCGCTGGCAGGAGGAACAGCGAGCACAAGCATCCTCTGGCAGGGTGATGCCACGCTGGGAACCAAGCAGCCTGGGCTCCCAGCTGCCCACTGTCCCGGGTGTCAGGCAGCCTGGGTCTGTTTCAGTCACTTGATGAGCACCTGGTTGCACAGAGCACACACAAACACCGTCTCCCTCTGAGCCTCCGGGGCTGGAAAGGAAAGCAGGCATCAGAGATGCTCCCCTTCCCCACCATGGGCTAGATACTCCAGCCACAGAGCTGCAAACCCACTGCCACTCTGTCCCAAGCCAGACTGTGCTGGGCAGGTCCTGTCTACCCTCCTCACCAGGGCTGGGACAAATCCCTGCAGCAGACAGCACAGGTGGGAGCAGGAGCTCTGCCCTCCTCTACCTTTCCACTCACCTGTGGCTCCCATCACAGCCTTGGGGACTTTGAAGGAACAACACCTGGAGCAGAAGCTGTTCCCACAGTTACTGCAGCTCCGCTGTGGACAGAGATGGAGGTGAGACACCACTCTGGGCCTGCTCCCAGCCCTCCCCGGCAAACTCCAGTGCTGGAGCACTGCTAACAGCGTTCCCTGCTGAAGGGGAGTGGGTGCAAGCCTCCAGTCCCGACAGCAACAGCAGAGGGGTCATCTGCCAACACCACCTGGACAAACCGCCCAGGCCTAACGCTGGATCTGCATTCAAGCATGCTCTAACATCACAGGCAGCCTGCACCCAGCCTGAGAAAGCACTGGGAGCACAGGCTCCAGGAGGTTTAAGGCCATCTATATCACTTATGCTGTAACTCTGGAGGGATGCAAGCCCCAGAGAGTCCCAGACGTATATGACACTAACCCAGGAGTAAGGGGAGGGGGCCACGAGTCTGGAGACCAGGAGGCAGCAGGAAGAGAGCAATGCAGGTCTGGAGGGGACAAGAGATACCCCCTTCCCAGAACTGCCCAGGGGGCTGTGCACCAAGCATCACACGCACAGTGGGCTTTGCTCCTCTAGTTCCCACAAGCAGACCCATGCTCTGCTTCACCGGAAAGCTCTCAGGACACAAGAAATGGGCTAAACCAGGGCACAGAGCAGACACCTTCTACACCAGCACATGCAGGTTTGGCCTGAGGCAGCTTCCAAAGGAGCAAATAGACAAAGGCTCCGCAGCACAAGGGATCCCTGGCACCATTAGGCACGCGACAACACCCAGCACGTAGCTGAGGTCATCTGCTGCCAGGCTGTGACTGAGGTGAGCCAGACATGCACAAGACTTCTGCCCCAGGTCTAGGCAGCAAGCTGGGGTAGAAGCTGAAGACTCACCCTCTTCTTGAGCACAGAGAAGGTGGCTGCACAGCCCGTGCAGCTCCCTGGAAGAAAGAGAGCAGAAGTCAGGCAGGGCTCTGCTGCCAGGGACAGCAAGAGGTACAGGAACACCCATGGCTGTTGTAAAGGCTCAGTTTGGAGATGACATTGCTGCACCTTCCCATCCTTGCCCTTCCCAGGAGGGCTGGAAACATCCTCCCCATGGAGGGGTGAGGTCATTGGAGGTGTCAGCACGACCCTAGCAGGTACCACACTGCTCTGTCCACTCCCAGTTCAGCGGTCACTGCCGGGAGCGGCACAGACCCCACTCTGCTGAGCTCCCCCAAGCAGTACCTGTTCCTAGCCTTACCAAAGTTGTTGCTGGGGTAGCGCTTGCGCAGGCGCTCGGTCAGACGTGACACCTTGCTGCGGATCACCTCGTTTTTGCTCATAAAACCATTGTCTGGAAGGTTGAGGTCAAAATCTGCAGAGCACTGAGAGCTCTCGTCATCCTCCTGCAGAAAGCAGAGCCAGCTGAACGCAGAGGGGTGGCTGGGGGTGCGCTCGAGGGCCACAGGGCAGCCCACCCCAGAGATGGCCACCCAACAAACAGGATGCTCCACCTGGCATCACCACAAGCCACTGGCAAACCAGGCAAAGGCTGCCGGCTCCAGCTGGGAGGAGATGCCCCTCTTGCACACCTTGGCATGGCAGTACTCACCATGACCAGCAGCTGGTTCTCCTTCTCCCGCAGCATGGGACAGAGAGGAGAGGCAATACAGATGGAGTCAGAGGCACCCAGCCCCACAGCCACCCTCCCTGAGCACCCAGCTTGCCCATCAAGGCCCTCACCCCTTCCCACCTCAGCTGCCCTGCAGGCACAGCCCAGCCCCACCAGCCTCAAACCTCAATAGCATCTTTGAACTCTTCATCAGGCTCTGCCTCCTCTGCCTCCTCCACGCTGCCAGGGGTAAGGTCCTGCAAGAGATTCTCAGAGCTAGTCCTGCTGTACCCCCACCCCTGTCCAAAGGTGGGCTCACACTTCTGCAGCAGGTTCCAGGACAAAGGACCAGGCCCCCAGCAGCCCCCTGAGAAGACATGAGTCCCAGAAGGTGAGGTGAGCCCCTGCCTCCCCAGACTGCACCCTTACAAGCAGCAAGAGGACTGAGCCAAGCACCCAGCACAGCAGGGCAGCCCCCCAGTAACTCAGAAGGGGCTCACAGACTTCCAGCAAAGCTGGCAGCTGAAAGAAGTTTGTGGGTAGAGAGACAAAGGCAGAGTCAGACCAAAGAGCTGACCCTGCAGCTCCCACCCCACAACTGCCAGCCCTGCCCCTCTCTCACCTCTGTGCTGGTGGGTGTGGGGGTCCGATCCAGGGGGGCAGCAGCTGGCAAGGGTTCGGCAGGCTCTGGAGCGCTCTCGAGAGGTTTGGTGCCCACACGCTGCTCGATCGAGGCCTTGAGCTCCATTATCACTGGTAAGAGGGGAATGTGGCTGGAGCAGGGTGGCACTTCCCTCCTCCCAGCCCTACCACGCAAAAGCCAGATATGAGAGCCAGTCTCCAAGGCTCAAGATGGGACGTTGGGACATACAACCTTTACCCATCAGGCACCCTGAGACCTCCTCTGCTCACACGTCAAAGTTAGGGCAGCAAGGAACCCCACCACCACCTGCCCCAGTAGAGGACAGGGAACAGCAGGGGCCTTGGTCATGGCCCAGCCACACAGATCTCATCCAACTCTCCTCCAGTACATGCCACAAAACAGGGAGCGTCTCCAGCTCTTCTCCTCCCCTCCGACAGCACGTTTACAAGCCTGCGTCACACATTGCCACAGGCACCAAGAGTATTTCAAGTCCTGCAGAGCAGGGTCAGGGACGGAGAAGGGTGATGATGCTCATGCACAGGCTGCGTTGCCAGGCCCTGGTTTGCCACAGTGCAGAGGAGAGCAGGAAACAGCACCCAGGCCAGGACACACATCGTAAGAGACTCTCACATCTTATTGCTGAGCCCCAGTTCCCCACCACCCACCATGGGCTGCTGAGCACCATCCCTAGTACATCGTTGCCCTCAGGCAGGATCGGGTCACATGGCAAAGCCCGACACAGGACACTGGGCTCACAGGAGGGTGCTGGGAGAGATCCAGAGCAGGATCTCTGGCTCCAGAGGGCCTTTCCCGAATCCCTCCCACACAGGCAACTTCCAGGGCAGGTCTCTTACCTTGGTAGAACTGGGTGTTGCCCAGGAAGAGGGTGCTGTTGAGGATGGCCAGGACCCAGCAGAGGGGCAGCAGGTAAAGGATGCAGACAGAACCCAGCAGTGCCCCATAAAACCTGGGAAGGAGCAGCAGGACACTGCAATCAAGACAGAGCAACTCATACCACAGCATGAGCCCCCTTCCTTTATCTGGCCCTCTACCCACTCTCTCCAAGTACCAAACACATCAAACGCAGCTCCACAGGCCTGGCTGGGCCACTGTCCCTGCTGAGCCCGCGGCAGGACGCCTGACCTGGTACTACTCACTGGGAAGATACAGTGGGGTTCTCCCAGTACAGCACACGGTACACTGCCTCGCAGCTGCAGCACATCCCGTTCAGGAACCCTTCCAGCTGGATCAGGCTGCAAATGAGACCTCACAGTGACAAAAAGGCCCCACAAACACACACCCTGGCTCCCACACACTCATATGCTTTACGGTGACCAGGCTGGCATGAGCCCAGGCCCTCCACAAGAAGCCTTCATGGCTGCAGAGGCGCCAGGAGCCCCACGGCCGGGAGGTTTCCAGACACTCACAAGCTCTTGACCTGGGCGATGGCCTCCTGTCGTGAGAGCTGCACCTTGCGCAGGTCCTCCCGGCGGACGCTGTGGTACCTCCTGCGCACCAGCTCCGGCTCCGAGGGCCGGGCCCGGCACGTCTCCTGCAGGTAGCCCAGCAGGGCCGGCACCACGACCAACAAGGCAAGCACCGAGTACCAGGCGGCTGGAAGAGACGGGACAGCGTCAGCC